GCTTCCATGTTGATCCCCTGCATCGCTTATCATTGAATAAATTTGCCCTGTTGATCAATGGATTGTGGTACTGGCCGCTTGTGGAAGAAGTGTACTTTTAAAAAGCAAGCAATAGTAGGGAATGTTTTTGTATTGAGGCATGCATCTTCCTGAAGTAAATATTCATAACTATATAGGATAGAAGGTGGTGATCTGTTTAGTAGAAAATATGTTAATGCGCAAAAATTGTTGTTATAACAGTAAATTGTAATATTATAATTTTCGTACTGGAAAGTGTTACTGCCATTTCAGAAACTATTGTGATAGTTATCAGCTTGGACAAGGAGCCATGGTTGTGCTATCTATGATTCTGTTTGTGATGTGTTACACAAGTTATAAAGGGTTTCTTATTACCTTACTTTTGCTTGATCGAATTTCAAGGTTTCAGATTTCTCAGTTGTAGTTTAGGTACAGTTAGAGCCAAGTGCAAATGAAAGTCAAACTATGTTTAATTTTCATTATGAATAGTTCTTTGAAAGTTTGATTGTTCTTATGGGGCGGCTATCTATAACCCCTCATTGTCTTCGCAATTAGCAGCTAAAATGAAAATATGATGACACAAAATTTTACATAAAATAAAGCATGATATTCCAAGGCCTAACAAAATTGTAAAAAAATAATTAATTAATGTAATGTAGTATAGTGCCACTGAGTAGTTGATGTCAGAAGTTAAGATACTTAAAGTGCAGGGCACTTTGTTATTAACTTTGTCATCAATATTCAATTGATGAAAAATACATGGGCTCAAGGTCTTTATCAGCCTCTACTCTTTTTGCACAGAGTACCAAACGCACTTCAATATTAACTACAATTGGATATCAGATCTTTATAAAGCTCCCTTGAATTAATTTATAACAGAGTGTGATATTTTCAGCATGTGACGACGATCGATCCATACAGTAGTAGGATCTTGTAGTAAAAGGATTGACATAACAAATCAACATGTCACCCAACCTGTGACCAATATGGCGATTGAGAGACCGAATTACTCAACCGAGGGGTGCAGAAATTGCTCAAGTTCACCCGGGCAAGAAAGCATCATGATACTTGATGGGCAAAACTTGGGTTGTCCTGCTACTGGAGAGGAAAATTAGGGTGGAACTATCAGAGCAAATAATGTACAATGGTGTGCGTTCAATCAAGTAACTATAAATACACATCCTTGACAAGCTCTTACTTAGACAGTCATCACTCTGATAAAAGGTTTCGGTTTGACAAAATGGCAATTGAGATTACAAAATGGTTCACTAGTATTAATTTAGGGACCGGTCATAAAGTACAGGGGGGGTGGGCTATGAAAATTTTTAAGTACTGGTTTTCAATGGCCCACCCCCGAGTTATTTGACAAAATTGGGGTGGCCCACCCCTGGAGTGGCACAGAAAAAACTAGTGACCCATCCCCCAACCAAAACCAGTAACGCTGATGAGGATAGGTACATTAGAATGACCTTCACTGCCAGCTGTCAGCTATGTCATTGCAAGCAGCAATCCCAGAAGGCGATTCAGAAGAGGAACCCTTGAAGCCTACTGAACGCCCAGCAATTAATCACAAGATTAAAAAACTTCAGGATTTGAAAGAGAAATCTGGGAAGCTGACGAGTAGTATCCAGAAAGAGAATGCCCAGTGGTTCATTAAAAAGTCTGGGAAAATCATCAGTGGGAAAGAGTGTGGGCAACCCTTCAATGAAAAAAATGCTTGGGAATGATTGCAGAATTGCAAAGTAACATTGACCAGACTTTGATGAGGGCAGAGGCCCAAAAAGAAAAACACAAGAGCATGTATCCTTTTGCAAAAGAAACATTCGTCTCGAAAAAGAGAAGAGTGAAAGAAAATAAAGCAAAAGCTAGGAAGCGACGCCGTGAAAGGGCTGAGAAAAATTGTGAGAGAGTGTTCTCCGCAATCAGTCACTCATCATCTTATGGTGAAGTTATAACCTCCGATCATTGTAGTGTGAAAGGCCTTAACAACTTAACAAAGAGAGATGGTAGGTGGTTAAAACTATTAATAAGTGAAGGTAAATTTACGGTGGATGCTATTGAAACAATCAGAGCAAAGGTGTCACCAGTTGTATTGAGTGCTATAAATGATAGTGATGATGATGATGATGACAATGAGGAGGAGGTGGAGGATGGTAATGCTTCTGAGGGTGATGGTAATGGTGAAGATGACTAAAGATGATGAGAAGAAGATATTAAAAAAGATGTAAACATAAGTTCGGTTTATGAACACACAGTAAAGCTTTGTTCTAGATTTTATACTATAAAAAGTTTCCCACGTGACTACTCTTCAGATTTAAAGAGTGTACATAAATAGAACAAAATATTTAATATGTGAATTCTTATTGTCATATAAACTTGGATTAATGTGGAAGATTAGATTCATTGTTAAAAAAGATTTTACTAACGTTTGCAGTGATATGTGAATAATTTAACATGACCCACCCCTGATGCAGTGCTTTATTTTTCCTGACCCACCCTTTTGAACGTGTCAAAAAATAGTGACCCACCCCCAATTTTTCATAGCCCACCCCCACCTGTACTTTATGACCGGTCCCTTAGGATACAATTATCAGACTACAGGATAGAGTAGACTGGTCACTCATCCGCGATCCAAAGGGACAACTTTTGGAATTATCTTACTGGTCTGGGCAAGTTTCTTGTCTTCTGCAGGGACGACTGACAACTGTGAATCCCTGACATGTGCAAGTACGTCAACAAACCTATGTCAGGTTAGTGCACTAACAATGAAGTACATTTGGCCATTTACACTGGAAAGCTATTAAAAGTAATTATAAATACCTTGAAGATCTTCTGTTCTGCAAAGGAATAGATTGACTCTTGCATACGACTTTCCAATACTTTCTTTATACTTTTCGACAGTAAAAAAATCACTCGTTCCTGGGATGTTGTCAACCTTTTGGAAGTCTGGGTAGACAAGTTGCCACTCCTCATTGCAGGGCAGATTACAGTTGTGGGCCATGTGCTTGTCAATTGCTGTACGCTGAACGATACCCTTTGAGGCTGATTTTGGAACTTTTACTGGCATTAAAGTGCTCCTTTTTGCTTTTATTTCTCCCTTTACCAAATGGGCAATACCCACATTTATCTAAAGGGGTCATGAAAAAGACAGTACAGATGTAAAAAATTTGACTAGTCCTCTCAATAATGTAAGATCCATGCTTCATTTTAGTATGGCTTAAACTGATACAGATTACATTAGCCCATAGACTTTAAAATAGGGATGATATGCCCTCACTGTTGCTGCTTTAGAGGAGTCTTTTATAGTGACTATAACTAGGACTTATTTACTAACCACAATTACCTTCACCAGTTCAGTCTTCTTTTTTTTCATGAATCTATCTTCTCTTTCCAGTGATTTAACTTTAGAAATTTGATCCAATTGCCCCTTCTTTTTCTCCATAATTTGTTGGAATGTTGGTACTTCACCTCGATTTTCTTCAAACATGGTCAAACTATGGCTGTTGCTGAATGATGGTAAACGATCAGTTCTTGCTCTCTTTTCTTCAAACATGGTCGCCCTTCCACAAACAGAACAAAAATGATGTCCTGTTTTGATTTCATTACCACAGATAGTGCAAAACATCTGGAAAGTAAATGTGAACAGAACATTGGGCAGGATTTCTGCATAACCCTATAAATTTATTAGGCATAATATACAAAAGCAAGTATCATCCAATTTGTGGAACTATACTCAATAAAGTTTGACACATAGAGGCTCCACCCCAATGTCGACCCCTTTCCCTTTTATATACCTTTTCCCCTTTAGTGTACCTTCAATTCTATAGGGTACACTTATATCACAAACCTTGACAAATTTTAGACCATAGTAAATGAAAACATACAGCTGGCAATAAGATGTGTCTGTTCGAAATACTTTTAAAATTAAGAGCCTTTTAAAACACCTAAATGACAACTTTCTTATCCTTCCATTATTATACTTCAACTTCTGAAATCCCTACCTTTCACAGGAAACCTGAAAAAGGCATATACAACTATTGAACAGAGCCTCCCAGTAAAGGACTTTATACGTTTCTCCCCCCCCCCCCCCCCCCCCCCCAATCCATTCAACCACAACTCAAAACCCCACCCTTTTCACGGAAACCCAAAAAAAGCTTAAAAACCATTTGAACAGGCCCCCCCAGAAAAGGACTTTTTCCTTTTTCCCCCCCCCCCCCCCCCACGTCGCTGGATTTTGGATTTCAACTCCATTTCAACTCTGCATATAAAATATTTGTGACAAATAGAATGAGTTTGCTGCATTGATAATACAAATTTAGATTGGGAGGAAATCTTACCGATTGCATGCAATTAAAATATATTTTGCATGCATTCATCTCACTTCATAAATTTGCATTTCCAGTGAGGAGGGGGATCCTCAGGATTTCAAGTGATGGGAATGATTGAAGTTGGCCAATGAAATAATTTATTGGTCTATGCATTAACACTACAAAGGTCAAACCTATTTAGGGTTTGAGCTAGGATTTGATCACTGGGGGACAATTTGTCCCCTTGGCTAAAATTTTGGGGTACAGACAAATTACTTTTTATTCAACATTTTTTTTTTGCATTCGTACGGGCAAGCCAACAAAAACATTTTTTTCTACCTGATCCTAGTAATACAAGAAAAGTGATACAAACAAGAAAAGTTAAGTTATTGGTGTCAAGACTTTTCTCATCATATTTAAACAGAGGATCATAGAAAAAATAGCAGAACATTGCCTCCTTTTCATAACACAACCACGTGTGATCTCACAACCAAGTTTTCTGGAAAGTTCCTGATTTTTTTGGTTTCCTTTGATCCTCACCCGTTTCTTTCTGATTAATACACTGTTTTTCTTTTGTATCATTTTCCTCTGATTCACTCTGGCTTTGATTTGGAGCGAAAAAGCTTTCTAATGTTTGAACATGTTTTCAATGTGACATGTTAAAGATTGCCAGGTGCGTTCACCACGCTTGCTTGAGTATGAGACATACGTGTTCAGTAGAGTGTGACTGAAACGTGACTTTAGAATGAACTTTAAATGCGCAATAAAATATACTTTCCACGTTCTGTTTTAGCTTGCAATTTCTCACTGAACTAAATCTCTTAGTGTGTGCTTCCTTCCGAGTTTTTTCCCTAAATTTTGAAAGGGACAATTTTAATTGCAGTGCAGGATTGGCAGAATGGCGAAGCCTGGCTCAAACCCTGCCTACCACTTGTGATGTACCACACTCAAGTGTTAAGCTCAATGGAGAAGATAACAAGAATGTCGAAGATTTTCAATATCTCGGTTTGACATTGCATTGACCAGGAAAGACATCAAGTGCCCGAAAGGGAAAGCATGGATTGCGTTTTAAAAATTGGATCGTGTTCGGAAGTCTCCTGCATATATTCCTTCAAAGCAAGTCTGCTCTTATAATCCCTGTAAAAAACACTGTGCCCATCCCAAAAATTAATACTGAACGTTTCATGTCTGCTTTTGTATTAATAGATTAATATTTAAACACAACCTTAGTACAGGATAGTTGGGATTCTATGATTAGGTTACTTATTATATTATGTTTTACGGTACAGTCCAACCTCGATTATCCGGACTCGTTGGGACCAGACGAGATAGTCCGGATAACCAAGGGTCCGGATAATCGAAAATGTGAATATTAATGAAGAGCAAAACCCAGCAAAACTGATTAAATTAAGAAAACAACATTTAATCGTGAAACAACACTTTTACAAATCATTGGGAATACTATGTCGTCTGCATCTTCACTCCGTTGTGAATACCTGTACACATGTGTATTAACAATTAAAATTGATGAAAAATGTTTTTACATAGGCCTAAAATGTTGAAGTAAGTCAGTTTGTATCAAAATAGAACTTCGCGTGTGCATTGAGAGTTCCATCATTCTTCGAAGCTGCATAATCTGAATAGTGTCAACATTGTTCTGTCTTTCCATCCATGATAAACACTTTTTAAAACATTCAACAGCTTCAGAGTTCGAAGCAATTTTCTCATCTTGGCCTTCATCTTCCTCATTGTCGCTACTTTAATATTCAAAAGAAGACTGTCCAACAACGCTCTCTAAAATTTGTTCATCGGACAATTGTGGCGAAGTTGGGAGCCCATTTTCGACATTAAGCCAGTCTTCAAAATCAGAAGAAGAGAGACCTTGACAGTTGGCAATTGAATTGAAAATGCCCATTATAGGATCAGTGGAAATGTTCTCCGGTTCTGGTTCAGAAACATTTGTCTGTACATTGGGATGAATTTAACGCTTTTTATGTCTGCAATATTGACAGAAATTATTAACAAAAGTCCGCACAAACCACTAGTGTGGAAGAGATTTATCAATGACATATTCTCATTGTGGAATGTAGACAAAGAAGAAATATACTCATTCATCGAACTAGCAAATAACCACCATCCGACCATAAAATTTACTGCTGAAGTTTCAGAAACAGAAACTGCCTTTTTGGATACATGTAATTGGAAACGAGAAAGATTTAAGAAGGAATCAATCCTAGATGTGCATACACACCTCAAACCGACAGAAACTTTCCAATACATGTATTTCTCTTCATGTCACCCCCAGGGGTTAAGAAAGGATTCATAAAAAGTGAGGCCTTAAGATTACTCAGAACAAACTCTTCTGAGAAAAGGTCCAAAAAGAACATAACTAATTTCAAGCGAAGACTCAGTATGAAAGGTTATAGAGATACAGTGATAGATAAACACCTATCAGAAGTCAAGCATCACGAAAGAATGTCGGCTTTGCAAAACAAAACAAAAACGCACAAGAAAATACTACCATTCGTGACAGAATATCGCCCCTCAGTACCGAACCTAAAAAAAATCATCATGCACAAATGGTATCTTATAGAAAACCAACCGTTGCTTAGAGAAATCTTAATAGACCCTCCCATAATATCTTACAAAAGAGGAAAGTCACTACAAGATATACTCATAAGAGCTAATATATGAAGGTAAGATCAAACCAACAGCAACTGAGCCAAAGAGAGAGGTGAATAGCTGTCAACATTATGAACAACACAAACTATGAAGCTTCAAGGTCAAAGATATACAACTACTTGGCCAAAAGGAGTCGTGTATGGCCTGTCAAAATTATGAAACATATTTCCTCGTGTTGTGCGATTTTCAACGATTGTCTCGATAAAAAAACGAATGCAATAAAACTTCGGCCTCACTTAAGTGGTATTGACTAAAAGTATCCAAACGTTATGCCTGTTTTATTACCCTGTCGCGTTGTTAAGTCATTTTACAAAGGCTCCTTAAGACTCAGCGTTTTATGCAAAATATCTGATCGTAAAAATATTGCCCAGAAATTTCGCTTACCTTTTTTGGAAAATCATGATAAAAGTATTAAAGCCAAAAGAAACTATAAAGGGCTTCAGGTGCCACAGCATTGAGACACAGAGCCTTCGTCATCGTCCAAGCGCTGTTCTCAAGAAAGGAAACTTGTGTTCCATTTCTGTCAAAGAGAAAAAATTAACCAAATAAAGCTGATTGCTGCTAATTACAGTAAACGAAAAACGAATTGTAAGTTAAGTAGGTAAAATCGGTACAATATATGTCCCCATACATGAAGTACCGTTTGGCCTATACGGGTATTTGCTGCTGAACAGGGTATGGTTTTCAAGGTCTTGAGTCTTAAAAAGGTTTTACGATTTTACTATAGACTGCTTGCAGTCTGTCTTTTCTCTTAAAATCCGTCTAGTTCTTATCTCAGCCAGCACGATTGCAAACCACGACGTAGCCTGTGTCGCAGGCATTCGAAAGTGAAGGGGAAGGGAATAAGGGGCGCGCCCTTCGCGTTTCTCTCGCGCCTAAAACTCCCTTTCCCAAAACTCCCCTTCCCTTCCCTTTCAAACGCCTGCTACGCAGGCTAACCACGACGTTATGTTACAATAAGGGATTGGGACCAGACAAGAAAAGACGGACTGCGGACTCTTGTAGTCTCTTACTTTTTCTTCTCGGGCTTACGCCCTCATTTATCGCGGCTCGTGGCTTCGCCGCTCACGTGCTTGGCTTTCGCATGCAATAACTTTGCAAAGAAAAATAAGAGACTGCTCGTAGTCTAATTTTTCTAAAAAGCGTCTTGAATAGGGTGTCTTTTTCAACTGGAAGCATTTCAAAGGGTGTGAAAACTTGCGATGAGTGGTCTACATTTGCGATACCAATAAATTTTTCCGAAATATCTATTTCACGATTTTAGTGTGAGAAATTACTTAATTCTGTATGCAAAACAAGAAAAATCAGGGTCAGAATGTAGTGTCTCGTCTTAAACATGGTAGCGAAATAAGCCATTTTTGTCTTAAACAGGGTCGGGGTTTGATGGCCTCAGCGGCACAAGTACACCCAAAATTCCCTCAATTGCCCCCTCCCCCCTGGATTGAAATAACAAAGGAGCACAGCTGCGTACAGCATCAAACATGACGTAAAGGAGACATCAAATCGTATTTTACGTTGTAATATTTTTTAAACTTCAGTTACTGGTCGGATTTAATATGCATTGATGGAGAATGAAGGAAAGTAGCATTCATTTTCATTTTAACTGTTTCCTTTGTAATTTGTTGATCACGCATTA